ATATATATATATATATATATATGAACCGTTCTACTCTATTACCTTTTTCCATCTCTCGGAAAACCCTCGTTATGTCTCCTCTTTTCAAAATTGTCGAGACTTACTTGCAAAATATTCATCGTGGTGCGTTTTTATTTAGCTTTCGGATTTGCGACATTTATCAAGGAGAGAATTTTTGAACAAGAGGAACAAATAATAATCGGATGGAGCAAGGTCTGGGGAGTATGAGGAGGATGAGGTAGAACGTTCCAATCAAATTGTAAGAGTTTCTGTCTTACGGCCAACGCAACATGCGGTCTTGCGTTGTCGTGATGAAAAACGACACCTCGTCGATTCGTACCGATTCACATATCCCATCTTGATTAAATGATTATGTACCGTTGTTTTGAGAATGTTAGTGGGATTCACTATCTCGCGAATTTTCAACGAACGTACTCTTGATTGAGGTCCGTATCCGTCGTTGCTGGGCGGCCGCTGCGGTCTTCATATTTCAAATCAAAATTGCCAGCTCTACACATTTTTTAAACCAATTGCGAACGGTTCTAATAATCGCAGTACCACTCCCATAAACGGTGCAAATCTCGTCTACAGTGTCCTTTGCACTACTACTTTTTTTAAAGCAATGAAGCACATAACAATGCTGCAAATGCTTCTTTTGGCTATCCATATTGAACGGGTTAGAAAATTATTTGAAAAGAGATTTTGTCATTAACGAAACGTACTTTGAATCGATTGCCATAAACGGACAATAGATAAACCTGCACGCTTACGAACATATCCGGCTCGAGGTCATACGTAGCGAGGCGCGGAAAAAACTTATGGGATAACCTAATATATATATATATATATATATACATAAAAAAAAAACAAAAATTACGCTATTGGATACGAAATTCCGTTCTTTATAGTCATTGATAAGCTCGTAAAAAACGTGAAGCCAGTGAAAAACGTAATAGATCCGAGAAAAAGTCTCTCACCATCCCACTACCATCACCATCACCACCACCCATGTTTTACCGCGTTTTACGAAGTCTCACGCACATACACATTACCCATAGATAAACATACACGAAGATGAGAAGAGTACGTATATAACGATCGATAAATTACCGCTCCGATCGAGCAAAAACCGAACTGTTGACGACACTAAGACAGACAGACAGATAGATAGAACGAGTGAAAGAAAAAGAGAGAGAGAGAGAGAAAAAGACAGGCCAACGGAAACGGCGTTGCGTTGATACGAAGGAATACGTCTCGAATAGCAAAAAGAATATAATACGCGCTGTCACGTTTCTTATCCTGAAAGGCAAAAGAGAGACCCCGTGCCGCAAGTGCAAGGAGGATGCGATTGGTGTTTTTGGAATACAAAGTTGTTGCACATGCCGAGTTCAGGAAGCTCTGGGTTACGTCTGGGTTTCGTTTTTGATAAATTCTATCTAAATATGTCTGTCTTTCTTTCTCTATCTCTGGCTGCCTGAACGTGTCTCTATCTTCAGTCTGCCTGAATGTTCTGTCTGTCTGAATTCGTCTATCTCGCTCTTTCTATCTGCATCAATAATATATCTCTCTCTTTCTTTCTTTCAACCACACCCCCATCTCTCCATCTCTCTATCCTTCCTGTCGGGGCCCAGTATATTCTCTCTCTCTTTCTGTCTCTCTTTCTGTCTCTCTTTCTCTCTTTCTCTCGTCTGGTTTCGCCTCGGCTCAGCCATACCGCCGGTGCGGTCGTGCGGTCACGTTGATCGATCGTTACCGTGTAACGAAATACGGTCCCCGCCGTCCGTTTCTCCTTGAGCGCGCTCTTTGAAAAAGGGCGCAGGACGGAGGGAAAAAGAAAATAAAAAAAAAGAATGGAAGAATGAAAGAAAGAAAGAAAGAAAGAAAGAAAGAAAGAAGACGAAGAAGAAGAAGAAGATGGAGATGGAGAAAGAGAAAGAGATAGCTGAAGAAGAGCAGAAGGAAGAGTAAGAGAAAGACAAGGAGAAGAAAAAGAAGGAAGAGGAGGAGAAGGAGGAGCAAGAGAAGCGAGAGGAGCAGGAACAGCAAGAGGAGGAAGACGAGGAGGAGGAGGAGGAGGTGGAGGAAGAAATCCAAGACCGTCTCGGCTTTCTAGGGAGATACGTCGTCTTGGTAGAGCGAGGAGAACGGATAAGGATGCCTGCGGGCGTACCTACTGACTGCTGCGACGTTCCACCGGCGCAGCCGCGGTCCTTTTCGTGTCTCTCTTTCTTTCTCTCTCTCTCTCTCTTTCTCTTTCTTACTTTCTGTCTGAGTTTCTTCCTTCCTTTCTTTCTTTCTTTCTTCTTTTCCTTCCTTCCTTCCTTCCTATACTACTATACAAGCTTATTCTATCTCCTAGAAACCTTCTATCTTTCTCTCTTTCTCTTACTGGCTAAAAATCGAACGGCACACGTCGAGAAAAGAAGCCCGACTTTAGCTTCCTCCTCCACCTTCTTTCATCTATCTCCACTCCTTCCTTCCCTCCCCCTTCCCCGCCCAACGTCCCCCCTCGTCGCCCTAATCTAGCATGATCGATTCCTAGAAACCGATCGAAGAATTCTGAAAGTTGCTTAGTAGCAGTTTAGAACGCACGCGTTCTATCTTCATTTCGCAATATTCTTTTATTTTTTGTTTTTTTTTTCTTTCCCCCTATACTACTTCTTCGAATAATTGTTGATCGACTTTTGGTTGTTTTGCGGTTTATTTATTCATAAGATTTGCAAATTACTTTTAACGCGTGTTACTTTGTTAATAATAATAATATTTTACATATTGATCGAAATATTGTAAATTATTAGATACGAATCTTTAATATTATATAAGTCGAATGAAAATAGATAAAAAAAAAAAAGAAATCTTCGAACGAAGGAAGGAATCTCGATTCTTTTTGTTTTCTTCTTCTTCTTCTTTTCTTTTCTTTTTTCGATTGAAAAGACTTCTTTATCGTGATTTAAATTGAAACGAAAAGGAACAAAAATGAAAAGAAAAAGAAGGATAAAGGAATATAGAAGATTCAGGAATTTCATCGACATCGACGACGACGACGACAGAAGGGACCGATCATTTCTGTGCGAAAGTAGACCGAGCGAAATCCGGTGGAAATACTGCCTAAGCCATGGAAATCGATACGGTTACACGATTACCGTGTTCGTGGAACGACGAGGATATTCGTCGTCGGTCTTCGGCCGTGACGGCACGTCGAATTTCAAAGCGGATAACACACAGAACGAAGAGATGTGTATACGTATAGGCGGGTGGCGGTAGGGGGGAGGGGCCGCGAGCTAAAAGCTTGCCAGAGATTCAACGAGAATTCTCTTTCCTAAGGTCTCTTTCTTTCCCTCTTCCTCTTTCTTGTGCAAACAGCATCTTCCAAGTACCTGAGCCATGCCAATAGAGAAAGATGATGTTTAAAAAGAAAAAGAGAGAGAGATAGATAGAAAAAGACTGCAGGTGGATGGAAACGTTCGATCCACAGGGTCAACCATTTCAGCTGTCTCCCGCTATAACACATTCTTTCTCTTTCTTTCTCTCTCTCTTTTCTTTTTCTTCCTTTTATTTTTTCTTTTTTTTTTTTTTTTTTTTTTTTAATTATTTTCGAGGACATTTACACTACACGTCATCTTTTTTCCGTCTACCCGGTCGACCATCACCAGCTGTTGTGAACTTAAGCTCTCCGTCCTGGAAAATTACAACGAGATAGGAATATAAGGTTGACAAGGGTGAAACGTTAAAGAGGGTAGGATCTGACGAGGGTTGGGTCTTCTTCTGCGTAGAAGTAGTAGGGACAACTTTGCGATTACCTTTTCACGATACCGGAATGAAGAGGTTAGTGGCGTCGAAAGGAGAGATCGATTCTCCGAATGAACGACGCATTGGCTGATCAGAGAAGCCGTTCTCGATTGTCTAGCTTTGGGGTAGGAGAGCGTGATAACCGGGCGTCTCGTAGAAGCCCGCCGCTTGAAGGGCATGCAATGAGGTCGCGTGATGCCTATGTATCGCACCGGCGTACACGCTAGAAACGGCACTGGACGTGACGCCGTTGGAAGCACTGATGGTGGACGAGTTTATGGAAGAGGAAGAAGAGGAAGCCTGCTGCCCGAGATGCGACGTTGTTCGCGATAATAATGTCGAGGTTGGTCGCCTGTAAGGATGATGCGCTAGGACGGACGCCGTAAGTGAACGATGATGACTCGATGAGTTCGAGCTGGTCGATACGCTATACGCTTGTTGATAACTTGGCCGTAGGATACCGGATACCGAAGTGGTCGTTGACGTGGCAGACGAAGAGGAGGAACTTCTGTCGCTTTGGTGAGGTTGCTGTTGATGAAGTTGATGCGTACGATGATGATGATGCTGTTGTTGTTGTTGTTGTTGCTGCTGCTGCTGCTGTTGTTGTTGTTGTTGTTGTTGTTGTTGGACCTGCTGTTGCTGTTGTTGCTGTCGATGCTGATGGTTATGGGCTCGCATCGCCCGGAAGTAGTGTTGATAAATACCTGATATAACTGCCTTTTCGTCGGCAGAAATGAGGTCGGAAGCCGAAGTTGTCGGCGTAATCGAATTTTGAGATTGCTGCTGCTGTTGTTGCTGCTGCTGTTGTTGTTGTTGTTGTTGCTGCTGCTGTTGTTGTTGTTGTTGGACCTGCTGTTGTTGTTGCTGTTGCTGTTGGTGAAGCGGATGAGTTGGATGTGTTCGATGCTGAGTGTGATGAAGCGCGTGTTGCTGTTGTTGCTGCTGCTGATGTTGGTGACGTCGTTGCTGTTGTTGTTGTTGAGCCTGCTGTTGAGAAACCGCAGCAGCGGCATTGAGAGCGGCTCTATAGGAGGCAGCCACGGCGACTGAAGACATCTGGCCGTTGGTCGAAGATATAAGGCTCGTCCCGAGAGCATCGGTGCTCGGTGCAACCATCGCGGCGGTACATGCAGAACTCGAGGAAACGGTGGAGGTAGAGACGGATGATACGACGGTGGCTGGTACTACTACTGAGGCAACTGCAGCGACTGCCGAAGTCGCTGAAGAGGCGGTGGTACGCCTGGAGATCCTTCTCGAGGAAGAGGAGGAGGACATCGAGTGGGTGTTCGTCGGTGGTGGTAGATTGTTGACGAAGGGACTTCTTCTTTCTCGTTCGGCTCGTCGATAATAGCAGGGGTGTATCATGAGCAGGGGCTCGCCACCACCGGGCGGTGGCTTCGCTTGGCTCGGTAGCTCGTACTCGACGCTGCAATCGACGTGAAGTGGCTGGGAATAGTCCTTGTAATCCTTGTAAGTGGTTACTGCTACGGCCGCGGCCGCTGCAGCCGTCGCCGCGGTGCCGGTACCACCGCTTGCAGCGGTCGAGTTCGAGCCGGGTCCGTTGGCGGCAGCAGCAGCAGCAGCAGCTGCGGCTACGGCGTCGAGAATACCGCTTGAGCCGGCCGGTAGAACCGTCTGCCCGGGCGTACCGCAATTCGAATTAACGGCATGATGATGGTGATGATGATGATGATGGTGATGATGGTGATGACCGTGGCCATGCATCGTAGTACCACCCACCACCGATTCTTTTTCGTAGCAAGCGGCAGCCATCTTGAAAAGAGGGAGATAGAGAGAAGGAGATCCCTATCTGAAGGAGCAGGAGAAGGCTAGAAAATATATATATATATAATATATATATATATATAAAATAGGGGAATAGGACAATGCGCGCTCGCGCGTCCTTTTTCTCGTCTTTGCTCGCTATGCTCTCATCGTGTCAACGACGAACGATACTTCGTCTTTTCTCTTCTCTCTTTTTCCTTTCCTCTCTTCCTCTTCCGGTGTCACCTTCCGCGCGTAGTCCACCGAGGCACCCACAAAGGCACCCTCCGCCCACGCGGCCTGCCTAATACTCGCGGAATCGTCGTGGCCGTAACGATTACGATTACAACGACTACAAAGACAACGACGACGACGACGACAACGACGACGACGACAATGCCGAGATTCCTTTCGGCGAGAAACTTGAAGAAATTTCAAATCTTGTTCCTTTGGCTCTTTCTTTCTTTCGTTTATCAGGATGCACTCGAGTGCAACAATGATGACAACGATTAGGGATGTCAACGGTGACAACGACGTAGACGACAGCAAAGTCGGATCTATGTCACGTCAGGAGGGTGATACCCAAGGGTTGGACCAACAACGTATATCCAACTCCGAGGAAAGCCCTCCTCCTCGTGGAAAGTTAGATTTATCAAGTCGGTACATGCGTTATCGCATATTCGACAAAAAAAAATTCGCGTTCCGAAGGAGAGAACCAACGAGAAAGTGAGCCTGTCTCTATCTCTCTTCGGTCCTTTCCTCTTTGCCTCGCCCACCGGCAATCCAACGTCACGTTCTTACGTTTTCCTCTTCCTTCCCTTCTCTTCTTTTCTCTTCTCTACTTCTTCCTTTTCTTCTTTCTCCACCTCCTTTCTTCTAAAACTCTTTCTCCCTCCGACGTTTTCTCCTTTTTTCTCAAAGGGACCCTTCACCGTTTCGTCCAGACGAAAGCTTTGTACGAGCCTCAAGCATCTCGTCTTCCTTCGTCTTTGTCCTCGCGAAAGATCGTTCTCTCTCTCTCTCTCTCTCTCTCTTTCTCTCTCGCTCTTACTCTTTCTCTCTTTCTCTTTCTCTTTCTCTCTCTCTCTCTCCGAGTATAAAACTACACACAGCGCAGCGCTGTTCCTTCCGCCGGCTGATTCCCACGGCTCTTCGACGAAACGTTTTATCCGTCGGCGCGGTCCGTCGCGACGACGTCGGCCGACCTTCGACGAGACGAGCCGAGAGGAAAGACGAGACGAATAGGGCGTAGCGTTCGTTTACGCGAGGGGGCGATCGTGCGCGCGTCTTCCTTCGCGATGCGACCGTATTATCGACGATGCTTGCGAACCCATTAAACCGCCCTTCTTTCTTTCTTTCTTCCTGCCTTTCTTTCTTTCTTTCTTTCTTTCTTTCTTTCTTTCTTCCTTTCTTCCCTTCTTTAAATCTTTTCCTTTTTATCTTATCTGTTTTGTCGCGTTATGACAACGATTGACAGTGACAAGGAACAATGTTCTATAACGATAGCCTTTCTTCGTTTTGTTATATCTTTATTATTGTTAATTATTATTACTTTTCTGATAAGCCAAATTTGCTTAAACGTTGAAACCGTTTGTTCCTTCGTCGTATTGTGTCGTCGTCGTTTCGTCGTTATTCGGCTATTGTCGTTTTGCACGCACTCGCACACACACGCACACGACGTAATAACACATAGAGGCACACATAGAAGCACTCTCCCGCATGTGACAGCGCGTAAACGCGGCTGCGAACGATGTCGAACATCCGTCTCTTTTCATGTGTTAGCGCGATGCTCCCGTTCATCCACCACAATCGTCACGCGCTGACTGCCATCCTACGACTGAGGGACGTGGTCTTTCTCAACCCGTGCCATTGATACTGTACCCCCTATCTTTTCGCAACGCCCTCTTTCTTCCCTCGATATACTTCTTCTCCTCTATATACGTAAATTCGATTTGTCATGTGCTCTACAACGATTTTCGTTATTTTACCTGATCAACATTGCCCAAGATTTTATACCTTAGGACACGGACCTTTTCTATCTCCTATCCCTACTCTTTTTCTATTTGTCCTGTCATCCTTAAAGTGTTATTTTTAAACCCTTTTCAAATATTCTATTATACCTGACTTTTTGCTTTCGATATTGCTCTATTCCAAGTTTATTCTCTGCAAATAGATTTCTTGAATTTTACAACACTTTTTCCGAATTATTTCTTCTTTCCTCTTTTTCTTCTACTACTACGAATTACGAAGTTCGAAATTGTTCCTGTACATTTTTCAAAACGAAATGATGTTTTTTTGTTATTGTAGTATTCGAAATCGCAGTTTTTATTTTCCGTGACATGCCGAAAGAAAGTTTCTTCGTTGAAATTTTAAAAAGTGCGCTCTTACAATTGGTGGATCTTTTCACTAGACCAATGAAGAATGACGTACTACCTTAAATGATGATTGTAATTTTGATTGGTTATTTACTGTTTGTTTATAACGATACGAGACGATTAATTTATATTTATTAATATTCATTTATTTTAGACTTCATCATATCACATCGCATATTAAGATTATATGTAGATTTTTAATTTGTACTATTGTTTTACGTTTTAATGTTTTCGTTTACATATTATTTTGCAATAAAATATTTACTTTTAATAAATATTCTTTAAAAGTATTCTAAGAATAAGTAAAATCATTAATTATATGCAGTAAGATTAATCAGTTCAAACTGTGATGCGAGTATTTAATGTCGTTAAGAAAAGTTTCTACCTTACCGCCTTCCACATGTCACGTGCTGTAAACCAAAGAATACAAAATTACATAGAAGCTCGCAAGTCCCGTTTAGTTACTAGTTGTCCCGGTAGTAACTAAAATGAAAAATAGGACTCTTAAGCTTCTATGTATTTCTGTTTTCTTTGGTTTAAGCACACGTGGTCTACTGCGATGTGTTGTTGAGCTTATACATACTTCTGTTTTCTCTGGTGTAAACACACGTGGTTAACCTACAAGTTTATTTAGTTTGTTTTATAATATTTATTAATCATGTCTTTGACTGAAATAGATCTAATTGAAGAAGATGAAAATGAGAAGTGTACATATTTTCATGAATTTGGATTAGATGATAGAATTTTAAAGGTAAGTAGCTAACGAAATATAGAAAATGCGCTTCAGAGGTTATGTTTTGTTATGTGCAGTGTAAAAATGTTTAATGATTTATTATATGGATTTCTTCAATAGGCGTGTTCGGCCGAACTAAGTCCTTAGTAAACTTATTAAATTAGTCAGAGTAAATAAAATTTTGTTCTGAGCGTCTGAGCACTGCAGATTTTTGCTTGGACACACTTACTATCTTTTGCTACTATTGTCCTAACCTAGTCGTTTATGTTCAAAAAATGCCTCGTGTGTTGACAATATTTTTTATTATTGTTATAAGTGAGATAAAAAACATTCAAAATTTTATAAAAAATGTGAAGAATGATCGTATAAATACGTATATATAGTATTTGAAATACTAAGTAAAATGGCGGTATGAAAAAGTTTCTTAGTATCTATATAATGGCGGCATAGAAAAAGCTTCTTAATGTCCCGACCAAAAACTTAGCTCTGTACTTTTAGTAACTTACTAAGTTTAATAAAGACTTAGTTCGGCCGAACACGCCTAATGTGATCCTTTTTATATATTTTATTTATGATGTCCAATATTTTATTTATTTTATAGGCTGCTGCCAAATTAGGTTGGATGGAACCTACGGCAATACAGGAGAAAGCAATACCGTTATTGTTGGAAGGGAAAGATGTTTTAATCAGAGCTAGAACTGGTTCTGGTAAAACTGCTGCATTTGCAATTCCATTAATACAAAAGATATTGTCTAATAAACGAACTCAAACGAAGCAAGAAATTAAGGCTTTGATTCTGACTCCTAGTAAAGAACTTAGTAAACAGATCTACGATGTGCTCATAGATCTTACAATGAAATGTTCCAAAGATGTACGATCTATTAATATTAGTCCGCCGATTAGTTTTGATGCTCAAAGAACATTATTACTAGAAATGCCAGATATTGTTGTATCTACGCCTAGTAGATTGTTGCAACATTTAAAAGTTGGGAATCTTTCTTTAAAACATAGCCTGGAAACATTGGTAATAGATGAAGCTGATTTGGTAAGAATGAACTTAATATGTAAAAATAATTCTTTAAACTATATTAATATACTAAATATTACATTTTTCTTTTATTTATATAATAGGTCTTTTCTTTTGGTTATGAAAGAGAAGTGAAACAGATTATGACTTATCTGCCAAGAATTTATCAAGCTACATTAGCATCTGCAACATTATCCGAAGATGTCTTGGTATTGAAAAAATTAGTTTTACATGATCCAGCAATTTTAAAATTAAAAGAACCTCCATTAGCTCCACCAACACAATTAGCACATTACAGTCTAGCTGCAGAAGAAGATGATAAGGCTGCTATTTTATACGCTTTATTAAAATTACATTTGATTAGGTACTTATTTGGGAATATACTACAATTATATAAAGAAAATCATCGAATAACAAATTCTTTATTTTTGCAGAGGGAAAACTATTATATTTGTACATACTGTTGACCGATGTTATAAATTGAAGCTCTTTTTGGAACAATTTGGAATACCAACTTGTGTACTTAATTCTGAATTACCTTCAATTTCTAGATGTAGAGCTATTACACAATTTAATTGTGGAATATATGACATAATAATTGCATCCGATGAGAAAGCTTTAGAAGAGGTAATTAATATATTTTATAGAATAACTTTTAAAGTTTATCACTTTTCTAATTATCGATGCATTTCTTTTTTTTCAGGAACACTTAAAAGTTAAAAAAGGAAAAAGAAAAAAAGATAAAGAATCAGGTGTTGCTCGAGGGATAGATTTTCAATTTGTATCAAATGTAATTAATTTCGATTTTCCCCTTGATGTTAACTCTTACATACACAGAGCTGGTCGTACAGCACGAGGAAAAAATGAAGGAACAGCTTTAAGTTTCATATCAATAAGAGAAAGACCATTACTCGAAGAAGTAGAAAAAGAATTGAAGGAATGCCAAGGTCAAGATACATTGTTTAAAACTTATCAATTTAAATTAGAAGAAGTCGAAGGTTTTAGATATCGTGCTCAAGATGCATGGAAAGCTGTAACTAGAATAGCTGTGCGCGAAGCACGTTTGAAAGAAATTAAACAGGAAATGTTGAATTGCGAAAAATTGAAAACTTATTTCGAGGATTATCCAAAAGATTTGCAGTCATTACGTCAAGATAAAGCTTTACATACAGTAAAATTACAACCTCATTTAAAAAATGTACCAGAATATATAGTACCACCTACTCTAAAAGGTTTAATGGGAATGGGAAAAAGGAAACGAAAATTCGATCGAGAATTAGCGTCAACTGCTGCTACCGCTGTGAAATCGAGACATCAAGCACGTGCATTAAACCCTCTCATTAGTTTAGCATTAAAGAAACAGAAAAAGTCAGCATAAATTTTATATATTATTGTAATGTAAAATTTGTACAAAATAAAGTGTTCCGTTCTTAATTTTGATAAATGAGTAACGTTTTATTTAAATGTAGAATTTAATAATGATAAATGTATAAAAATTATATACTTTTTTTAATTTCATTGTAATGTAAAAATTCAACATAAGAATATTATAATTATTATAAGCTAAATATTGTGGTTTGTTCTTTTGTATTTGCTTCGTATACCATCATTGAGACCTTCTCTATTTCTTGCTAATTCAATTGCGTAGAATTGAATTCTTGATGTTAATATACTGTTTTTCTCTGAATATTCTCCTTCACAATCTGCTCTTAACAATGTTCCAAAATTATAATCCTCTACTGTACCTTTGAATTGTTCACAGAAGGGACGCCACTTTTGCTTTTCTTCTTCTGATTTAAAATCATCCTCAATTATTTTATCTACCTTAAGATTTGGAAATGTTTCTCGAAATGTTTTATAAATTTGATCATCGTGAGGTGTAAGTCTCAGAAGTTTAGGATCAACAGAACATAAAATCTAAAACACAAAAAAGTTATTGTTTCCTTTTTATCTTTGAAATAAAAATATATCACCTACATTGAAATAAACTTCTGCGTGTTCTATTGCTTTCATTGTCCACATTGCTTCCACTGATTGCTAGAAATAAATATAAAAAATATAACATTTCAAAGAAAGTAATTTATTTCGATTATTTAATTTTACTCACATCATTTTCAAATTCTTCTGCGGATCTAGAAAGTACACTAGAGCCAGCTAACATTTGATCAGCTGTCTGCAAAAATAATGTTATCCTTAGAATTAAATTAAAATGTTAGTCTATATATATATATATATACATACGCTTAAACATCTTATTCATATTACACTTTTCTTAAAGAGGTTAACATATGTAGCATCCAAAAATCGTATAATTTTATCTTTTAAAATATACATACCACGTTTCCAAATTGTGTCATAACGACAAGTTTATATATAAATTAATGAACAGTAAATTAATATACAATTTATTTTTTACACGACCTATAATATAACCTTCGTTGAAGTTATAAACCAAATATGCCTATCACCACGAACAATACACGTGTTAAATGAACTTGGATTAACTATTAATTGAGATACACTTTAATTCATATAATTGAAGTATTAATATATGACAAAAAATTCATTTTTTTTTCTATTTATCGTAGAATATATCAACGATTTGTAAATTTAATCGAATATTAATATATTTATTTATAATGATATCGATGAAATATAAAAAAAAGGATTTTGAAACTACCGCGTGATGTTTTGACCAATCAGAATAGAAAGCCATTGCGCAAACGCGAACTAGTTTAACCATAACGGTAATATACCTAAGAAGTTCCTAAGTAAGGAATTGTGAATAGTCACAGCTCCAGCAGCGACACAAAGTCATTACATATGGTTTTATTTAAAACTTTCTGACGTGCGTGCGGAAACGATTGCGCGCGCAATGAATCAAGCACCAGTATCGTGTATTCCTGCGGGGAAGATGTCAAAAGCAAAGAAAGTGCTCGATGAAGCACGAGAGATTCGAAATCCTGAATTGGATCTCGTCGACAAGGGCATTGCATCGTTCGAGGAGATGCCAGGATTGCGTGAGTCTTTCCACACTGTATCACCCATAAGCTCTTTTGCCAAATTAGGCAACTAGTCGTGACTGCTTTTTTCGTCTTAACGAGTTTGGGAACGGCCGTGTGTCATTGCTTATCGTGTGGGCGTTCCTGCGCGCACGCGCCAAATTTGAAATTGTTGACAATTTCCCGAAAAAAAATTTTCATTCCATTTATTTTATATTAACACATTATTTGTAGGATCCGTTTTTTTTTTTTTTATATATAGCGTTGGTTTATGTGCAAAGACATCTTTTGAGCGATATCACGTTGTAAAATATAATTATTATCGCAGTTTAAGGAAAATATATGAACGATTTTTAAAAATCTTATTCGAATATCAAGTCAAGTTAAAAATAATTCGCATACAATATGTTAATCTATTAATATATGTATTTATATATTACGTGTATTATTTCTAATAGTTAAATAATAAAGGTAATCTTATGTTATATCGATTGCAGTTAATATGATCAATGTTACCAGATTATCATTGAGCCATAATAAAATACAAGGTAAGAAATAAATTTTATAATCAATGCCATTTTTCATAATAGTCAGTCTTTTAATTTACTATATTCTTTAGAGGTACCACCAGGCTTGGCTAATTTAGTTAATTTGGAGATATTGAATCTTTTTAACAATCATATCACCGAATTGCCTATTTCTTTATCTCAGATGCCAAAATTAAGAATTCTTAACGTGGGGTACGTGCCAATAATAAAATTCTTCTATTTTTTATTCTAAATGTAATAAAAATCTATTTAATGTTTTTATTTATAGAATGAACAGATTAGATGTATTACCTCGTGGGTTTGGTGCCTTTCCAGTCCTGGAAGTTTTGGATCTAACTTATAACAATTTAAGTGAAAAAAATTTACCTGGAAATTTCTTTATGATGGGTAAGATTGAATTTTTTACCGGTAATGTATAACGCTTATGATACCTGTGAAAATTTCTTAAGATTCAATGCTAAAATTAATTTCATAGAAACTTTGAGAGCTCTCTACCTGGCTGATAATGATTTTGAGTATCTACCACCTGAAATTGGACAATTAAAGAATCTTCAAATTGTAAGATGATATTTATACTTATGCTTACTATCGAACAATCCCCTACAATTAAATTTGTCATTTAGAATTTGATAAAGTCAATTTTGAAAAGATATTTATAATAAATCTTCGAGCCCTTTGACGGGATTATATTAACTACAGTTAATATAAACTTTCTATATAGGATTAATTTATTATTTATAATTGCAATTTGTTAAAAAAATAAATGCGACATATTAACCGGTGTTAGATATCTGAGAAAGTTTCTTATAGGTCATTTGCGTTCATTTGATTCAATCAATTTTACTGATCACCCCGGAGTCTGGTCTCTAGTGCGAATGAAGCACAAATGATAAAAGAACTTAACAAATATTCCTCTATTTTTATTCAGCTTGTTTTAAGAGAAAACGATCTAGTTGAATTACCAAAGGAAATTGGAGAATTGAGTCGTTTAAGAGAATTGTATATACAAGGAAATCGTTTAACCGTATTACCTCCAGAGTTAGGTATGCGAAAACATTTTGAAAAATTATATAATCATTTTTTCCACATGTCTCAAATAAAATATATTATATTTTTCTCAAACAGGAAATTTGGATTTAGTGAGCAACAAAGCTGTATTTAGAATGGAATTTAATCCTTGGGTAACACCAATAGCAGATCAGTTACAAGTCGGTATTTCTCATGTAATAGATTATATTCGTTCAGAAACATATAAATAGTAAGTCTAATCAATTTGGCGAATATTTATAAATCTTTCAACCATTTACGATGTTTAAATATGCTACTTTTTTTTTTATAGTGTTTACAGTCGACATCAAAACGCTAAAGGACCACCACCTCCAATTGAGAATGATAAAAGCAAAAAAATTTCACGTGCTCGTTGATATCAAGAAATATTTGATATGCTTAATGATCTAACACTAAAGATTATGATTTTTAATCTGTTTACTGCCATTAATCTCGTTTTTACGACGACTTGTAACTAAAATCAGGGATACTAGTGCCTTACATATTTTTTTTTATGTATATTTTTTAACGCTTTATAGAATATATCATGTATTTATTAAATGTAATACGAATATTTTATGAGAGTATGTGTATGCAAAAGATCTAACATAATTTGAATAACAATATCATTGCATGGCTGCGATTAATGTAAATATAAGATATATTGTATTTTTTAAACAATAAAATATATTTTACCGATTGAAAAAAATGAATTATAACAGTTTTTTATTACATCTTTTTAACCACGGGTCAGCATGTGTTTTAAAAGTAATGGAAAGCTTCGTAAAAAACATTCTTCATATATTAATTCCTTAATAATATTATTAGAAGCTTGAATGATAATAATAATTATAATAATAAATAATCGTGAATATAAAAAAAAGGTGTAGGAAATATTATTATAGTAGCAGATGTTAAAAGAAGTACAAAAAAATTAGGTCGACGAGGATGGGATTCGAACCCACGCGTGCAGAGCACATTGGATTAGCAGTCCAACGCCTTAACCTCTCGGCCACCTCGTCTGTTTTGAGGCTGATAAAAAAATTGCACAACAGGACCCGTAGTCGTTGGACAAAAATTCAACAATTTTTTTACGATTATAAATCACTATTATAAATATTAATGTACTTGTCTCTTACTACTGTCGATTTAAACCTATAATATTAAACAATTTTGTACAATTACAAAATTATAATTAAAAATATAATTTATCAATCTTTTTCTCTTATGTCAAATGAAACTATATATATAAATATTATATGATATTATAAATAAAAAAAAATGTAAGATTAATTTGAATCGTTACACCAGTTAGAAAAATCACAACACTATCGATATTTTCTCTCGGCAACCGAAACAAAATTTGTTTAACATGATACAACTGAACAGTCTGGCTTGGACATCCGAAACTTAACATCGTTCGTTCGTTCCAATACGATTTCATTTAACAACTATCAAAATGGTAAAAAATATATTAACAATTCTACGATATCTAAGGTTTAATCAATATTTACAAATATAATTTTCTATTAAAACGTTGCTCGAACGAGTTTTTCATATCCTTTCCATAATCATTAACACATCCTACATATATTCTAATTCAAGATTGTTTAGCAATCAATTTTAAAGATGAAAAAAAAACAATAAAAAACAAATTCTCCCAATTAGCGCGAAGTGCTATCCATCCACATCGGCCAAGGTGGTGTACAAATGGGTAATGCATGTTGGGAATTGTATTGCCTTGAACATGGTATACAGCCCGATGGAATGCTTCCAGCAACAGCTTGTACGAATGACGAAGGATTTCAAACGTTTTTCAGTGAAACTGGGGGCGGAAAATACGTTCCTAGGGCTGTTTTCCTCGACCTTGAACCTACCGTAATAGGTAGTAGAACTTGAAAACCTTTCAAACTTTTATATTTTCTTTTCTTTTTATAAATAATATATAATTAAAATGAAATCACAATCACACATTTTTCAGACGAAGTTCGTACTGGTACTTACCATCAGCTCTTTCATCCGGAACAATTGATATCCGGGAAAGAAGATGCTGCGAACAATTATGCACGCGGCCATTACACTCTTGGAAAAGAAATCGTAGACCTGGTGTTGGATAGGATACGCAAAATCGCTGATATGTGTGCCGGCCTTCAAGGTTTTTTAATTTTTCATGCATTTGGAGGTGGTACCGGTTCTGGATTTACCAGTTTACTGATGGAAAGACTCTCGATGGATTATGGGAAGAAAGCTAAATTAGAGTTCGCTATTTATCCTTCCCCACAAATTTCAACAGCCGTTGTCGAACCGTATAATGCAATTTTAACAACTCATACTACTTTGGAACATTCCGATTGTGCATTCCTCGTCGACAACGAAGCTATTTATGACATATGTAGACGTAATTTGGATATTGAGAGACCAACTTATACGAATCTGAATCGATTGATCGGTCAAATCGTATCATCGATCACAGCATCCCTCAGATTTGATGGTGCACTCAACGTCGATCTAACTGAGTTCCAAACGAATTTGGTACCCTATCCTAGAATACATTTTCCTTTGGCTACCTACGCCCCAATAGTTTCAATCGAGAAAGCCTATCACGAGCAATTGACTGTCATGGAATTAACTTCTGCTTGTTTTGAGCCAGCCATGCAAATGGTCAAGTGTGATCCACGTAGGGGAAAATATATGGCTTGTTGCTTACTTTACAGGGGTGACGTTGTACCCAAGGATGTGAATGCATCCATTGCGACTATTAAAAGTAAACGTGCTATACAATTTGTCGATTGGTGTCCAACTGGTTTCAAGGTTAAACTAATGATTCTAATTTTGTAAGATCTCTATTTTTGTGTCTACAAATTTTAACTTTTAATACATTTTTAGGTAGGTATCAA